TTCATATTTTAGTTAAAAACATCTTAATGATGGATTTGTTTCAGTTTTTGTCTTCTCCAGATGTTAACTGATGGACTGGAGTGCTGTGGATTACTTGTGGATTATTGTGATGTTTTTATCAGCTGTTTGGACTCTCATTCTGACGGCACCCATTCACTGCAGAGCATCCGTTGCTGAGCAAGTGATGCAATGCTACATTTTTTCAAATCCAGGGCTCTAGACTCATTCTTCCCACTGGTCGCTCTTTTGCGACTAACTTTCTCAGTTGGTCTCACGAGCACATAATTAGGTCGCAATTTTTTTTTTGCTACAACATGAGATTAATCAATGCATGCTGACAAACTTTTATCATAGTTCAAAGTTATATGGTAACCAAAGTGCTCAACTTTCAACCCGTTCTTTTTCATCATCATTATTTGTTATTCAAATTTTGTGAACGGGAATTTCTCTTGTGCTGTATTATAAACGATCGTGCGCTTTTACTTTCACGATCTTGGTGTCACAGTTTAGAAGAAAAGATAATTGTCTGTTTTGCTTATAGCTATACACCTTTCACTTTTTAAGACTACAACAAAAGATGGATTCATTGTTATTCTTAATTAAAAAGCACAACAACAATAAAACAGTAGGCTACAGCTTATCAAATAAAAAATATAAAAAGAAAAAAAAAGAAAGAAAGCCTCCATAGCGTAACGTGAGGTAAACAGCAAAGATAACAAGCTTTTCAAAACAAAAACAAAAAGAAAAGTAAAACTAAACTGGCTGTCGGTGACAGGACTTGCATGTTTTTTTTCACAAGAATACCAACATGCAGGCCCGGATTGGCCGAGGATTCCCGGTGGGCCGGTCTGTTTTTTGGGCCACGGTGTTGTCACTCTCTAAGTTTTCTTTAATTGAAAAATATGCATTTTTATTCATTCATAGGCTATGGAAGCAATACAATTTTTGTTAAAAAAATGTAAGTGCCATTGTTTCAAAAAATGCTTTATTGACTGACGTTTCATAGACGTTCAGTTGTTATGCTTTCAAATTTCATGCCAATTGTATGCATGTATGTAATTTCACAGTATTTTCACCTAAATTACTACACTACTTGTGCAGTCACGTTCTACTCATGGTACAATGGTACAATTTACTCAGGCCGATGACATTTTTTGTATGACATTAAAAGTATTTTTAGAATAAGTGTACATAAATAGGTTAAGCAAAACAAATGTGATTTTTTTTTCTGGGAACTTTTTAACTGCAGGCAGACATACATTATGGTACAGTACAAATATTTTGAGTGTCCCTTATTCTGTCGCTTATTTCCTTTAAAAAAAATACAATTGTCCCTTATTTTCCATTTCTAAAGTTAAGATTTTTTTACATCAAAACGAAAGCTCTAGAAAAAGTGAATTACAAGGCTGTAGAGAACAGTGCACTATTGCAGACTCATATGTGACCCTGCAGCACAAAAGCAGTCTTAAGTCGCTGGGGAGGTTTTAATTACATTATTTTAATATAGTCAGTCATGAATTAAAAGTGGGCCGGTCTAAGGCTGAAAATGAGTCCCACTCCGGCCCTGCATACATGTTCATCTTATCTGGTTTAAGAAGCGGTCTTTTACTTTACTTTAGCTTGAAAACCAAATCTTCCTTCTTCACAAATGCGACCACATCAAATTTTAACTCGCACATTCTCAAAAAATAGTCGCAGTCTAGAGCCCTGAAATCTGATGACGAAATCACTCATCTTCATCTTGGATGGCCTGAGTTTGAGTACATTTTCAACAGATTTTCAAGAAACAGAAGACTTCAAAAAATTTTTTTTAAACAAACAAGTTTGTTTAATACTTCATATTAGGGCTTTGTTCAGATCACCAACCCCAAATATGAGCATTAATATAGTAATAAAGATGCTTGAGTAAATGAAATCAAAGTTTCTAAATGTACTCATCTGTTCACCTGTATTTCTCCAGAGACACTTCATTTCCATCGATGTCTTTGGCTGAGAACTCGTATATGGATTTGGCCGACTGCCAGTCGTTGGCTTGGGCACACTGCGATAAACAGAGAGAGGTCAAAGGTCACAGGGCGTGATGAGTGTCTGCCAATCCCATCAAATAGATAGAGCACGAGAACAATAAAGTGCTATAAATCAATTATGCAACGTCCTCATGTAATAGCTTAACTGATGAAATCTCATATTAAAAGTCATCTTTGCCCTCTGATACTGTTGTGTGTGATTGTTTTTTGCTTACATATGCAACACAAGTTATGCAAAACACAAGAAATTAAATATTACTTTACGGAGGGGATTTAGCAAAAAAGTTCAGCATTAAAATTACATTGTCAATCTTTATATAGTGATCATGTGTAGAGCTCCTAAACCAAGCAGATTTTCCTGTGTCTGTGGGATTGTGTGGCCGTCACACGGGCTTCATCACACTTACGGGAAACTACAGCTGAGACTAGTCAAAGCTAACCAGATTTAAGAGTAATCCATTACAAGCTTACCTGAGAGTTAAGACTATATATGACAGTCCAGGCATGTTTTTTTTTTTATATGCATGAAATTAACAATTATACAAAAAAAAAAAAAGGACAGAAAATATATATATATAAAGATCATGCAGTGTGGGTTTATTTATTAGTATGAAGTTTTTAGGCCTCAAATCAAGTCATATTTACAGCATGAACACATGGCGCGTGGTTGAATGTGTTTTTATAACATGCACGATCATCTCTATTTTAAATAATTCCACAACACTGATTTTACTATAGATTTGGGACAGGCAAACGAAACTGTGCGATTGTTATATTATAATAGTCGACATAATTCATTTATTTTAATAATCACATTGCAAATTTATCTGGAGTGATTTTTATGTTGCATACTAACTAACATTAAGATATCAAATCTTTTAGATCATATTAATTCACCTGCAACACATTACAATAAAATATGCATCACCCTAATATACAAAGACCTGGTGTATTTTAGGAAACATGCAGTGATATTTAATAAAACCTAAATAATGTAATTATTATTGAATACTACTGATAATAAAATCCACTCCAAATAATTAATTTATAATTGATAACTCTTAATAAAATCAACATTATCACTGGTTAGTCTTCACAATGAACCCAAATAGCGTAACTGATTACTATTAATAATAATAAACCCTAAATCACTACATTATCATTGATTATTCTTGATTTTTTCCCCGCCCACGTGATTGAATTCGCTAAACCCAAAACAGGCCTAAAACATCTGTCTGCCGACAAAACGGACTTTAACGAGTCGTTTTGTTAAACATACACTAACAAAACGAATATAAATTGATTTTAAGGCATAAATAAACCCACAGAGACATGATTACATCATTAAAGCTAACGAGCTAATGTTCCTCCATCGGAGTGAATTAGCGGAGACACACAGGTGCCACAAATAAACACACCGGACTTTGACCTACTCACAGCAACTACAATAACTAGCTGTTAGACAACACAGACTAGTCTTAACACTCTCTTAGACGCGTTAAAAAGCAGATAAAGGTGTTGTCTGGTATCTTACCATAGCTCTAGCGAAGCTCTTGCTCCCCAGCGTCCCGATAATAACATTAAGATATCAAATCTTTTAGATCATATTAATTCACCTGCAACACATTACAATAAAATATGCATCACCCTAATATACAAAGACCTGGTGTATTTTAGGAAACATGCAGTGATATTTAATAAAACCTAAATAATGTAATTATTATTGAATACTACTGATAATAAAATCCACTCCAAATAATTAATTTATAATTGATAACTCTTAATAAAATCAACATTATCACTGGTTAGTCTTCACAATGAACCCAAATAGCGTAACTGATTACTATTAATAATAATAAACCCTAAATCACGACATTATCATTGATTATTCTTGATTTTTTTCCCGCCCACGTGATTGAATTCGCTAAACCCAAAACAGGCCTAAAACATCTGTCTGCCGACAAAACGGACTTTAACGAGTCGTTTTGTTAAACATACACTAACAAAACGAATATAAATTGATTTTAAGGCATAAATAAACCCACAGAGACATGATTACATCATTAAAGCTAACGAGCTAATGTTCCTCCATCGGAGTGAATTAGCGGAGACACACAGGTGCCACAAATAAACACACCGGACTTTGACCTACTCACAGCAACTACAATAACTAGCTGTTAGACAACACAGACTAGTCTTAACACTCTCTTAGACGCGTTAAAAAGCAGATAAAGGTGTTGTCTGGTATCTTACCATAGCTCTAGCGAAGCTCTTGCTCCCCAGCGTCCCGATAAACAGCGCTCGCTGAAACAACCACATAGTGCTGCGGCACAAAGCCCCGCCCACCCAGGGAAAAGACACTCCTCTTCGGTCAGCCTCAGCCAATCAGAGACGGTGCTCAGCGCTCGCTGAAACAACCATAGTACTGCGGCACAAAGCCCCGCCTCTTCTGTCAGCCTCAGCCAATCAGAGACGGTGCTTATGCAACTAATGCAAAGTCACATGATCAATACGTGCAATGCGTATATAATAAAGTATAAAAATACATTAAGATTTATACACAAAACCGCCACAGTTTACAGATCATCTTTCAGTTCTCAAAAACTCTATATTCATGGAAAAATACATATTTAAAAAAAATATATTTTTATTAAATATACGAGTGCTGTGGTCTCTGGGCTCAATAAAATTAATTGAAAAATTATTATTATTATTTTATTACAATTGCCAAACGTATAAATAAAAAGTAACAATACGTAGTAGTAATATGTTTTAAAATATATATAAGCTACATATATTTAATGAAAATAAAACTTTACACTTACTAAAATTAAAAGTATAAGTAAAATAAAAGGTCTCATTAAATAATTTAAAATAAATAGACATGAATACATTAAAGAAATAATAATAAAACAAATTAAATTGATTAAAGTAAATAAAAATGATTAAAATTAATTTATAAATAAATAATACATAACAGTGATGTACTATAATGGATAGAAAAAAGTAACAATGCAAACTAAACATTTTCCAAATAATATTTTACGCATGTTAATAATATTTTTTTCACCGTATAAATTGGGTCTTTATACGTTTAAAAAGGTAAATGTACAAAATCAAGAGAATATAAACATTAGTATAAATTTTACACATTTTAGATCATGGGTTTTCAAACAGGTCTGGAAAAGAAGAGAAAAACAGTGTAAAAAAAAAAAAAAAAAA